ATTCAAGTAGGCTCTCAGGCTGCTGCTCAAGTGTGTTGGAGCCCTCCCAAATGTGTGTGTGTGTGTGTGTGTGTGTGTGTGTGTGTGTGTGTGTTGTAGACCAGGCTGGTCTCGAACTCATAGAGATTCACCAGCCTCTACCTCCCAAATGCTGGGATTGAAGGCGTGTGCCACCACCACCCAGCTGACAAGATTCTTTTTTTACCATTGTCTTAATATATTCTAATTTCTTCATGTTTCTTTTTAAATTGATGCCATATTAGAACAAGGAAAAATTAGTTCCATGAAGACTAGAAGTCCAATCAGTCATATAACGGGTGGTGATAATTGCACCCAAGTCCATATTTTATTATAGACACTGTACCAAGTGCTACATGAGCATCATCACATTTATTTTTCACAACAGTAGTAGATGTTTATTTGTGGTGAGATTTTACTGTAAAGCCCAGGAATCCTGACCCTCAGCTTCCTGGATGCTGGGATCACAGCTGTGGGCGAGTATGCCTAGCTTACTGTCTGTAGTATAATCTTCAATTATCTAAATTTTCCAAGTAAACTACTACTGTAAGACTTTACTAAACCATACCCAAGCTCAGCATCTTAAACTAACACTTATCACACATGTTCAGCTTGGCTGGAGTTTGGCTGAAGCCAGTTGGACCCAGCTAGGTATTTCTATCTCAAGGAAAGATAAACTTAGGGATAGTGATTCAGTTTTGTGATACAGTACCTACTTATCATCTGTGGGATCCTTGGCTTGATTCCTATCATTGAAGAAAGGAAAAAGAAAGAAAAACAAAAAGCAAGCAAACTAGAAAGAACGCACTAAGCTACCACCACCATCACCACCACCACCACCACCACCAGCAGCAGCAGCAGCAGCAGCAAAATGAATTTGTCACACAATCTTGAGGAACTCCAGAACCCACAAAAAGGCAGGTGGGTGTGGTGGCTTGCCTGTAATCTCATCTCATAGGGGGTAGAGAAGAATCCTGCAGCAAACTAGGTACCAAATTAACTGAAAGCAGGAGCTCTTGGTTTAGTATACAAGGTGGACAGCAAGGAAGGAAGAAACCCAATGTCAGTCTCAGACCTCCACATAAATTTATTGCACATGTATCAGCCCTGTGCCCACAGGCATGTGGGCATGCATATACACACATGCACACACACACACACACACACACACACACACACACACACAATTCTGGTTAGCTATGATAGTGCACATCTTTATCCCAGCATTTGAGAGGTTGAGGCAGAGGATAGTACAATGGAGATCATCCTGCAAAATAGCAAGATCCTGTCTTTAAAAGGAGAAAAGTAAACTCAGCAAAAGTAAGCAGAACTTTGTTGGTTAAAGAGAAATTCACAGGATGACCCCAGCTAAGAACCCCTAAGAATAATGGAGAGGGTGCCTGAACTGGCCATCTATGAAATCAGATTAGTGACTATTCCAATTGTCATCAGAGAGCCTTTATCCAGTAACTGATGGGAGCCGATGCAGAGATCCACAGCCAAGCACTGGGCCTAGCTCCAGGAGTCCTGCAGAAGAAAGGGAGGAGGGACTGTATGAGCCAAAGAGGTCAAGGTCATGACTGGGAAACTCACAGAGCCAGCTGACCCAAGCTTGTGGGAGCTCACAGACTCTTGACCAATAGTTAGGGAGCCTGCATTGGACCAACCTAGGCCCTCTGCATTTGTGTGACGGTTATGTAGCTTGGTCTGTTTGTGGGCTCCTAGCAGTGAGATCAGGACCTGTCCCTGGCACTTGACCTGGCTTTTGGGAACCTATTCTCCATGCTGTGTTGCCTAGTTCAACCTCCATGCAGGGGAGCTCAGTCCAGCCTCAACTTGATGTGTCTGTCATGCTTTCTTCAAGTCCGTGGAAGGCCTGCCCCTTTCTGGATGGAGATGAAGGAGGAGTGGATTGGGAGGGGAGTAGATGGGAGGTGGGGGGTGAGGGAACAGGAGAAACTGTAGTCAGTATGTAAAATAAATGAAAAAAGTTAATTAAAAAGGCCCAGTTGTTAATCTCTGTTTAGGCTTGGCTTTTGTCCCTTCAAAATAATGTTCATGTCCTGGCTAGTTTTTGTTGTCAACATGATACATCCTATATTCACCTGGGCAGGAAGACCTTCAGTCCAAGGATTGCTCAGATCAGACTGGCCTGTGGCCATATATGTAAGAGACTGTCTTGGCTGATGTTTGATGTGGAAGGGCAGAGCCCATTGTCGGTGCCACGGTCCCTATGCAGTCTGGGCTGTATAAGAAAGCTAGCTGTGAGGCTGGAGAGAAGGCTTAGTTACTAAAAGCACTTGATGCTCCCATGAAGATAATAGTTGAAATCAAAGCATCCATGTTAAGTGGCTTACAAATAAGTGCTTGTAATTCCATCTCTATAGGATCTGATGACCTCTTCTGGCTTCCATGGGAACCCCTACCAGACACATGCACACACATTAAATAAATACATAAATAAAAATTAAAATAAGAAAGCTAGCTAAGCATGAGTTATTGAGCAAACCAGTAAGCAGCATTCCTCCACAACTTATGCTCAGGTTCCTGCCTTTACTTCCCTCGGCTGGAAATGTAATCTAACTAAACTCCTTCTTCCCCAAGTTGCTTTTGGTCATGGTGTGCATCCCAGCAACAAAGGAACTAGAACAGTTTGTTAGGATGTCCCAGCCAGTAAAGGCACATGGGAAAACAAACAAACAAACAAACAAACAAAAACCAAGAACAAACGTAGTAGCAGAGAACTGCAGGTTGTTTGTGACCTTCACCAGTGTGTTGTTGCATGTGCTTCTCATAACTGGATATAATAAAGAAATAGTTTATTATGTGCATCCAAGAAACACGGAAAACTTTAAAAAGTATTATTTCATTTCATGTGTATGGGTGTTGTGCCAGGGTGTATGTTTGTGGACCTCCCACATGCCTGGTACCTGGAGAAGCCAGAAGAGGGAGTTGGCTCCCCTAGAAGTGGAATTACAGACAGTTGTGAGCTGCCTTGTGGGTGCTGGGAATCAAACCCAGTCTTCTGGAAATACAGCCAGTGCTCATAACCTTAGAGCCATATTTCTAACCCTGCAACAAACATTTTTAAGAATCAAAACTACCATCATTGACCCAGCATGGTGGCATCCGGCCAGCACTTGGGGGGTTGGGGTAGGTAGATCTCTGTAAATTAAAGACAAGCCTGGTCTACACGTCCAGTTCCAGACCATCCAAGACTACATAGTGCAAGCTTCTCTCAAACAAACAAACAAACAAACAAACAATGATTATCCCCAATTCCAAACACAGAGCTTTCCACACTTGCATCTTAGGGCGGTAGAGATAGTCTCACTATATAGTGTAGGGTGTCTTAAAACTGCGTTTTGCTGTCTCAGCATCTCAACGTCTGTGACTGCAGAACTGCATCGCCACATCTGGTTTGAATACACTTCCCGAATGAAAAGTTTTATTTTGGCATTTTGGAACACCAGCATACAGAGTTCCTTTGAGCAAGAGAAATGAAAGCATTCATTTGAAAGGAAAACAAAACAAAACAAAAAACTGTAAACACTGATAACTCCAAGAACCCTAGGTTTTCTCATTCTTTTCAACTGATGCATTTTTCCATGCTTCTATGTTAGTAAGTTAACAGGAACAGTATATCTGTACATCCAACATTTGTTTCAGAACTCGTGTTTCATCGTGTTAATACTGAGGTGGAGTGAAAGCATCTTTTTCGCTTGGACTTGCTTTGTCTCTTGAGAAACTGAGAGGGAACCCAAGACTTTTCTTCTCAAGGCTCCACCCCAGCGGCCAGTCTCCGCTCTCCGCTCGCCCCGCCCTCTGCCCCGCCCCCAGCTTCTGGC